CTGGCTTAAAAATCACCACTAAAAACCAGTAAATAAATTAGAACATTTTCTCCAGGAGGCAGCTGAATCAATTTGGTTGAAAGCATTATTGTAGAGACAATCTAAAACACTTGACAATCAAAGACACTTGGATAAATGAAAAACAAGGAAACAATATGTACCCTTATGAGCAATGGCATGAAATAGGTAAGCTGAGGGCTGAGCTACCAATTGAGCAAAACGTCTTTTACAGAGTCATCTAACATATACCTAGGTACTCTGAACTATCACAACTCAGCTCTTCAGAATTAACTACAATTTACTTTCATTGTAGTCTGCACATCACCCAGAGAATTTAATGTCAGCTACTCTCAAATTCAGTGGCATCTTCTGAAACCCCACTTTCAGAATCCCAGCATGGCACGTGATCCACTAGCCAGCCTGCCATGGACTCACACGTGTGAGGGGAGACAGATCAGCCTGGGCTTCTGTTATCTGGCTGGATGTGAGCACCTGCCCTGAAAACCATCACAGTGGCCCTGGCTCTGGGCACCTTGGGCACTGACAGTCCCTGTGAGCTCCCTGCTGCAGCATGACTGTTATGGTTTGTGTCTGGATGTCCTCCCCAAACCCTCATGCAGACATGGAGGTGGCTGAATCTAGAGTTTGAGATCGGTTCATTGTCTAGTGCTGAGATTGGCGGTGTGAGCTGCTCCCACTGTGGGGCGGAATGCCTGCACAGCAAATAAGGAGGGGAAAGAGGTGTGCTCACTCCCTTTTCTCTTTTCTTGCAGCCACCATGAATGGCTGCCCTTAGCCACAGCACCCTACCTTAAGCCAGCTGAATATGAACTGAAATCTCCACAAATTGTAAGCTAAATAAATCTTTCCTTTCTTCATTTTGGGCAGGTATTTTGTTACAGCAATAAGAGAAAAGTAACCAAAACAATGGCCAAGAATCAAAAGGAATGATGCCAGTGGAGGTGGATGGCTGAAGACAAGATGGCCCAGCTACTGGGCTTTCCTGTCAGTGAAAACACAGAAAGGGACCCAGAGAGCGCTGACCTGTTCAAAACCCATGACCCAGTGTTTCAAGTCCACCTTTTCCCTTCCTCCTTTTTCTTATACTCAGTGTATTCCTGTGTAGGGACAGAACACAGGATGCACTCTGTGGAGTTCCTAAATTATTTCTTCAAGGCCACAGAAGAACTAAAGAAACTGACACCCAAGTCAGATATTCTGTTCCACCTACAGAGCCCTTCCTTTTTGCCTTCCTTACTAGGAAATCTCACTTTCATGGGCCACTTAATCGGTCTTTTAGATGTTTTAGAACATGTATACCAGACACTGTTCTGAGAATTCCTACGTTACTGAATTTAATCCTCACAACTCTCTCTGAGGCAGGCAATCCTATACTCTATTTCCCAATTGACCCAGATGAGTCTCTGAGAGGTTTGTGTCCTGTTTAAGGTCACAGAATTGGGACAAGATGGGGCCAAGATTTAAATCCAAGCATGACACCCAGAGTTGAGAGTCTGCAGTTCTCTCTCACTGCTGAACAAGAACCAAATGAAGGCAACCTGTATGCAGGGAAACTATTTTCTTTCTATAACATCCCAGGATCAGTCAAAGGCTCCAGACCCATTGGCCTACACTACTTGTGAAAAATATAAATTTATCAGCATTAAGAACAAGAAATGCAGGTTACGGTCCCTCCACTAGGACAGGACTTGATGTTTGATATAATTTTTATGCTATTTCTCAGATTGTCTCTCTTCCCTGGGAAAAAAGAAAGATTAATATTTTCCCCTTTATTTCTTTTTACAATTACTTCAATATTAAAGCACTTAAGTACCCTGGCTCAGCAAAGACAAAGAGCTCTTAAGAGGGAATCAAGTCATTCTTCAAATGCCAGACTCCCCAAATGTTCTTGTTCACTGCTTTGTAAAGGTTTCTGGGCACACACACTCCTGGGTGATAGGGTTCCTCTGCTGCAGGGTGCCCCTGCCTTTCCTTTTCTTGTTTTCTCTGAATACTATAAGCTCTTTAGGAGTGGTGAGTGTGGGCATGGGTGCAGATGCACACGCATAGGCATTCCTGTACATGCAAAGCTCAGGTGCATTTCTCCAAGAACCCAGAAGTGAGCCAGAAGTGCTGAATTAAAACAGAAGATAGGCCCAGGGACTCCTGTCCTGAGACCTACTTTGGCACTCCATATGACACATGTTACCAGTTGCCAAAAAGACCAGGATCCCTAGGCCCTCCAGGTGTGGCCAAAATATCATTAAGCAAGACCCAGGTCAGACCTGGGCTCTGTCACTGAGTACCACCCCCTGTTCCTGAACATAGCTGTGCTCATCCTCTCAGCTACAAAATGAGTTGAAATACAAGCAATGTTCACAGTTGCAATTAAGATAAAATGAGATAACATATGTGAAGGGACTTCTCTACATTCAAGGGACCAAGTTGTGGCTTGTCACCAACTGAATATTAACATGAGAGGAAAATGGGCACTTCAAAAGTGATATTCTATGCTAAAAATGTGGCTGGATTTCATCTAGCTGAAATAATAAAATGGTACCAGATTATAAATGCCAACCCACCATTGTCCACTATGAAGGAGCCTGGGTAGCACTCAACAAACATTTAACCTGGAGCAGAAGGGCTGCAGGTGAGGGTTCAGAGCAGCCATGGTCACTGGGTCATAGTGAGAGTCCTGGTGAGTGCACTGAGCATCAGAGGGAGCATCAGAGCATCCTCCTTAACTCTGGCTCAGACTGAACAGCCACCAGAGGATGAATCACTTTCCCAGGGGCCAACTCTCTAAACCAAGGCACTGATGTTTGCCACATTCTCTGCCCGGTAGCCTCTGGATTTGGCTTCCCACGTGTCCCATCCTACAGAAGATTGGTAGACCCAGAAAAAATAAACCAAGTATTTTCTGGCTCCATTTGTCCATCTGTGAAACCCTCAGAGTACAGCACCAACTCCAAGACACATTTGCCCTGTTGTCTCATCACCAGCTTTGTAACAGCCACCAGTGCTCCTAAGACCGTAGAGAAAATGTAAGAATACAACCAATTCTCTCCTGAGGTTCCCAGTCTGGGAGTGGAAGGTCAGCCATGAAAGAGGTATAATGAGCCTGCCAGGGGACAACTCAGGAAATTACATATTCACTGAGTATTTGAAAGCCGCGCAAAGGCCACTGTGTCACACAAATCAATCTTAGAGCATAAAAAGGCAAGGATATGAGCTTAATGTGCTCTTTTATAATAGCTTCTTTTATATATTAATGGCAGTGAATATAAACAAATTTAAAGATTATGTTTTTGTATTAGTTGTTTTGTTCAAGACTGCCTAATTTGTTGCTCTTCAGCTTAAGTGTTCATGACATTATGGTGATGAAATGAATCCCTGCTGAGGCCAGTAATTCATTTGCTCATCCATTATTCCACATATTTCTTTAAAATTGAACCTTATGATATGACTGACTGCAGATCAAAACAGTCAAGCACTGGGAAGTCCACACGGTTCAGCACACACCAAATCCATGCCAGGTATTGAGCTAAATGGGAGACTTAGAACAAGAGAGATGATGCTCCTCCTGTCACAGAGTCTATCTCTTAAAAGGCAAGACAGAAATCACCCTGTAAACAAAGAAAGGGAAACTGTCACTGTGAAGTATGATCAGAGCTATACAGAACAGGTGATGTGACAGAATGCAACGACAAAGAGAGGAGACAGGGCAATTCTCTGGGAGCAGATGCCATGTTGACACTTACACTGAGACTTTGGTGACAACACATGGTCAGCCACATTGAGTATACATCTAGACTTTGGTCCAGAACAGAGAACCCAACCTGTATTCCCTGTCCTGGATCTGAGTAGATCACAAGACAGCCAGCAAAGAGAGGTCAAGGTTTCCACACTAACACAGTCTTTATCTAGAAAGCCAACTCTAAAGCCTTCCAGGGGATCTAGCCATGTTTTCTTCCCTTCAAACACACCAGGCAACCTCCAAGACTGGCATAAGAGCAGCTTCATTATTTCATGCACTAAATCATGCTATACTGAAATTTTAATCAGAGAACATAACAACATGTCTCGTCATATGCTGCTGTTGCCAGTGTAACTTGTTAAACTGGTATTCTTTTTTTAAAAAACTATATTGTAAAACAAGGAAAAATTCATCAAGATGCTCAGATTCTTTGACCTACCAATTCTACCTCTAGGGAATTTATCTTAAGGAAAGAAACTAGCTCAATGGAATAAAAATATTCTCTTCAGAAAAGCTACATGGAAGTGTTAATTGTTGTGCACCCGAAGGAAAGAAAAAACAAAAACACCTAGAGTTATCTTAATGATTGCAAATACAAGGACTTTAAAAAACAGGAAAATGCACTTGATGAAATAGTATATGCCCATTAAGCATGATAATATTACATAGAAGTTCGGACACAAGTGAGATAGCTTCTTGAAAACAGCAGAAAAGAAAATAACATGCATATTTTAATGAAAAACATGTAAATAGCACCTCAAGGTGAACAAGAACAAGACAATTGAAAAGAATTGAATCAAGTCTAGTGGAGTAGAGGTTATTTATTTTAAAAGTACTCCCAAAATATTGTCATTGTATTGAATTTTAAATTAAAATCCCTCAGAAACAATCCTGTGAAAATATTACAGAAGAATGTCACCAGAGCACAAGGAAATTTGTTCATCCAGACTTTAAATACAAAACAGAGTCAAACTTGGAGATGTCCTCTGAGCTCTATATCCCACACTCTTCTGTGTATGTAACCCATCTGTAAGACTCAGTCTCAAACCAAATGGTACACTGTTGCATAATTTTATAATTTCTTCTCCCTCTTTGATGGTATAGGTTGAGGAGAATGGGATGATTGAAAACTTGCGTCTCACACTACTGCAGGAGAGAGGACTTTAATTTCTGTGAAGGGATGGAGCAGAAGAGGCCCCAGATGCTGCCACTCTGAGTAGAGGCTCAGACTGATGTCACTCACCTTTTACAATCAGCTCCGCATAGTTGGAAACACCAGATCCCCCATCTGAGCGGATCACACAGCGATATTTGCTAACACTGCGCTGGGCTGTGTCTGCCACACTGACCGTGGCTGAGAAACGCCTGTGGTTGACCACACGAGTGACCATGAGGGCTGTGTCTCTGCCATTCCATTGCTATAAGACAGAGGAAGAGAAGGCGAAAAGTCAGCATTAAAGGGCTTTTAGCAACTGTCAGTATAGATGCTCCCCCGCCCCGTCCCTGTGCTCCTGAGGTACAGGACTTCCAATCTCAGAGATTTTATCTGGTTTGTGCTAATGATAGAGTCAAGACTAAACTCGGCTAATGAGCTGATTCAAGAAGGGGGTGCCTAGTGGCAAGAAGACAAATTGAGAGCACTAAAGGTCATCTCAGCTATATGCTCAGACTTCATTTGAGGTTAGCTGTCACTCCTTGACCTTCCTCTCTCCTATCTCCTTCCATCCTTCATGCAGAAACCACAGCATTCACCCCAAAGGCAGGCTTGGGTAGATTGGTGAAAACCCAGCCCACTGGAGTGATAATAAACAGTCTGTCTCCCATCACTGCTGGTGACCTGCTATCCCACTCACAGGCTGTAAGCCACACTTGTACCAAAATGTCACCAGGAATGGGACACATGTCAGAAACCCTTCCTCCTTGCATGAGCTCTTTCCTCTGCTTGGACTGACCTGTTTCCCTCAACATGAAGTTTGGCTCTCCATCATCTCTAGTGAGTTCTTATGAGTATCACACTATAATGAGAAAGTCAACCATAACTGTATGCATATCAAGCGTCCCATCTTTGCTAGTAAATTTTCCCTCTTTACCTGTGAGCTCCCCAAATAAGGCTTTTGCTCTTTTCACTTCCAGAACCAACTTGGTAGATACTTCTAGAATCAAGATGAATACATATGGGAATTATCTCTAGATTCCTGGATTTTAAGTGTGATATTCTGTGTTAGAATAAACTTTCTAGCTGCAAACTATGAAAACAGGTAAGGCATATGCATGTGAATATTTATTAAGCACCTAGTACACACCAGCCTCTAAGATGGGTCGTTTTGTGTAAATCTCCTTTTAATCCTCATATCCTTGTTTGAAGTATGTATTATTGCTACTTTTCTCAAAAGAATTCAAATGCCAAAGAGGCAAAATAAATACGAGGAACAAATAAGTCCCTCGCCAGGATTTCCAACTTCAAGTCAAGCACTGTATTTTTCCCGAGGCCTTATCCCTACTGCCTCCCTTAATTTCAATTTTTTTCTCTGAAAGTAACATGGTGCTTTAATTGTCTGGTTGGATTTAGGGAAAACTTGTGATTTATAATTCGCATGCCCGGAGCCTCGTGGGATGTGATCTTTATTGCTCCCTGCATGAAGTGAACAGTCTCGCCATGCGTATGACCTACTTTCCACCATGTCATCTTTTAACCCATGCACCTCAGAGATAGGTCAGGACGGGAACACAGGAGTAGGAAGAGCCACCTGCTCAGGTATGTGATAGCAGCTGAGTCAGTACCAACACCAGGCAGGAGCAGAGCGTGTAAGACAAGAACACAAGTAGCCAGGGACTCATCAGAGCAACTACGAGACCTGCCCCAGACTGGATGGATGACCACAGGTGACATTCTCTCTCTCTCTCTATATATATATATATATATAGATAGATAGATAGATAGATAGATCACTCACTTTTTGGTGTTCTACAGACTTCCTACCTCAAACACGTATCACCCATCTATTTCAATAAAATAGATGCTATTTCAGAATGGGAGGAGGGGCAGCCATAATCTGTGACCCTCCCTTATAAAAAACGCAACACTGACTGGACCAAACCAGTGTAACTGGAGGAAACACAAGGGTTGAAACTGTTGCTGTATCTTGAGCCCTGCTACCTATTTGCAAGAGATGGAACAACTTAATCTCAAGCATGAGATGCTTTCTGACAAATCAAGTAACTTCCTTTTCTACAGTAGTACCATGAAGAAGCCAAGGAATTTCTGGCAAACACCAGAAAGGTGCCCTGATTAGTAGAAGAGAAGTGGAATGGGTGAGAGGGATTCAGAAGGGATGGGCTGACCAAAAGGAGCCCATTTCTCTTATTTCTGTGCAAAGCACTGCAAAGCCACTGTGGCAGTGATGGATGAGTTAATGATGAGGCTTTTGTGGATATTTTCCAACTGGATTTAATTATAACATCATGAATACACCCTTCTCTTCTTTTAAAGCTAATATTGAAAAAATGCTATTAGGTACTTATGTATTTTATACTCTTTCATTTAATCCTCATGAAATACAGTAATCATTAATTATTTCCCATCACTTACCTTCTTAAACATAATTATTTGCAAATGTAAGTATACGAGCAACAACTGTGGCACTAGGATCCACTTATTTGCCACCAGTTTTGTTTTTAGCTAAGAACAAGAAAATAAGGAAAGGAAAGGAGAGGTAGAAATAGAAATACTGTGTAAAAGATGAAGGAAATTAAGCAAAATTGCACATGACCCAGCCATACAGACCATGAGACATAGCTCAGACATGCAAAGTTTTGAAAAGCTAATAAATTCAGAAAATTAAAAAAGACTCAGTACGGTATCAACATGTGATGTCGACATGGATCTCACAAAACATGCCCTACGTGATGAATAGATAGGGAAAGTCCTAAGAAAGACAACAAACCTGGAGGAATCAGGGAAGAACTGCAACAAGAACTCAGGTGCAGAGTTGGCCATGGCACTGGAAGTAAAGGACAGAATCAACGCTGCAGAAATTAAACACCATGGAAGGCAAGATAGAAAAATTAACAGGGAGAAAAAAAGAAAGGAGAAAAGAAAGAAAAGAAGGAAGGAGGAAAGAAAGAAGAAAGAAAGAAACAAACAAACAAACAAAGGAACAAACAAAGAAAGAAATAAAGAAAGAAACAAAGAAAAAGTAAAGTAAAAGATGGACAAGTTGATAAAGAAAACAGGAAACAGATGACAGCCTACCATAGAATAGAGGCTCAAAAAAAAAAGTCAAATAAATGGAATAGAAATCATAGTTCAAGATATATTAGGTCATTTTTCTTTACCAAACTAAGATATGATCTTCAGACTGAGATGATCAACTATCTTTTCGATGAAACTTACATAATTGATGTTTATAAAGATCTTGTTTGTAAAGAACAAAGAACTACATAAAAATCTAGACAGAAGAAATTATATACAAAACATTTAACCCATTTGGTCCAAGACTCCTCATCTAAAATGCTTTCCAAATCCAGTGACCTCCTCTAGCTTTTACTAGTCCACCAGTGGTCATAGTGAGCTTCTAGGAGGCTACAACAGTTTACTAGACACATGGAAGAAGATAGGTCAGGTCTAGAGTTATGGAAAAACAGGATAGAGACTGCTAATTAAAAAAAAGTAAGGTGTTATGGTTTAGATCAGGAAGTTCCACAAAAACATGTTTTCAGAGGTGGGGGTTTTGTAAGGTGATTGGATAAGGGGGTGATATACCCATCAGTGGCTTAATCAACTGATTTGTTCATAGTTGAGTCAGCCAATAGGAGGCTGGGCCTGGTTTGAAGAAGAAGGTCACTAGGGGTGTGACATTGAAAGATATATGTAGCACCTTCTCTGTGTCTCTTCACTCTGCTTTCTGGCCACCATAGCATGGACAGTTTTCCTCCACATCAGGCCCTCCTAATCATAGTGTTTCTGCTTTTGAGACTGCAAAACATGCACTTGAAAATTTGGAAACTGTGAGCCATAATAAACCTCTTCTCCTTTAAAATGTAGGTGTCTGTTATTATGCTTTAGCAATGAAGAAAGTGATTGAGACAAAGTAAATTCCAGGTTTGTGTAACATTAGGCAGGCAATACCACGTCTCTAAGTCTCAGTCTCCTCATATGCACAATGAATTTGATAAGGACTCCCATGGAATTATTACAAGGAATACAAGAGAAGGCATGTGTGTAAAACATTTAGTATGTGAAAGAATATTCTGGTGTTGGCAGAGCTGTCCATGTGAATCACGAAATTAGCAAGGAAAAGTACACACAGTATAACACTGCCCAAAGGTGCCAACATCTCAGTACCTAGAACTCGTGAACGTTACCTTACTAGGGATGGGAGATTGAAGATTGTGATTGAGGATCTTGATGAGGTAACACTGAGATGTCAAAGATGTGATTGAGGAGCTTGATGAGACAAGACTGAGGCATTATTTTAAATTATCCACCTGAGCTCAATGTAATCACAAGGCTCCCTACATATAAAAGAAGGAGGTGGCAGACTTAGAGTGAGAGAAGGGATGGGCCAGAAGGACAGGTCAGAGGGATACAATCGCTGCCCCAAAACTAGAGAAAGGGGCCAAGAGCCATCAGTGTAAGTAGTTTCCAACAGCTGGAAAAAGACAGAAAACCGATTCTCCTCATGCTCTTTAGAAGGATTGTAGCCTGCCAACAGTTCAATGTTAGATCACTGAAATTCATTTCTGGCTTCTCATCTCTACAGCTATAAGGAAATAAATTTGTTTAGTTTTAAGTCATTAAGTTCAAGGAATTTATTATGATAGCAATAAGAAGCTAATACAAAGAGAATAGGCTGGTTAAATACAAAAATATTCATTTTCCACATTGTAGTAGTTTAAATTTTATTTTGACGCTGCCTCCAGTATTATTTACTCATTTTCTTAATGATGTTGGAGTTTAGCAGAACCAGGGAAAATTAAGCATATCCCTCTGAATGATTCATACTTTTCTGTTTAGCTCCTGCACCGAGATGCTTTGTCCTTTAAAGGATAGGAAATTGCAGGTTGTCTTGTAAAATCTCGGGAAAATAGGCCTTTTGATAATCACACTTGTCATATTGGGAACAGGCAACAGCAGGACAGGGATGAGCAGGAGGGCTCAGAGTCATGGTAGGAAATAGTGCTACGATGGACCATGGGCAAGGAGAGATGGAGGTTAAGTATAGAGAGATGAGTCCAGACAGGAATAGCCTGTGAGCATGACTCGTTAGGACAGGCAAGGAAGGGCAGGCAGGTGCTGAAAGCCGAGGCAGTGAGCACAACTCCAGAAATCCAGAAAGAGAAATCCAGGGGATGCCAGAAGCCTGGGGAATCGATTCTCAGCTGGTGAGAGGATCAGATGTTAGAATGCTATGGCACA